GTGGCTAGGGGGATCTAAGAGATTAGGGATACCCCCTTTGCCCCAGTACTGCCAATGTGGTCGCTTTGATCTGGAACCGCTTATACCCGACCTTCGACTGGAGCTTTGCGATGACTTCTCCAAAGCCGAGGATGCGTACGAATTATCGCCATCTTAGAATAATTGATGTTGGGAAAATTGCCCTTCGTAAAACAATTCTTCGATTGACAAGTGAAAACGTTAACTACTCTGTTATGTTAGTGTGGTTACATATTAACAATGAAATCTTAAGGGAATTAATTAATTACTGATTTTCATCGATGAATCAATTTTTTAGCCCTTTGATCTTAGAAATGACTCTATCAGATTCTAATCTGGACTTCAATGAGCCATTTTCATTTATGGAAGAAAACGAGATCTTATGTTCAATGAGGCGGGGTGTACGATAGATTTACTTCCACGTGATGTACCCTGGGCAACGTATAATTATACGGCAAAAAAGTCTTTTAACCGGCATTTGACTTCTGACTTCAAACTACCATGGCTCGACTGCTTGTCATATTCGACCATTTCCACAGTACTGGTCTTACCTTTTTCTCTACCTTTGTGTCTGTCTGCCTCTTTTACATCTGTGAATCGCTCTTCTGTTCTCCACCCCTCGACTTTCTTCTACTTTGATGAACCCTCCCTCTGTGAAGCCCGAAGTTAGTTAAATGGCTAATGATAGTTATCAAAACGCCTGCCATTTGAAATAAATAAATAAATGTTCAATGAGGCTGAGTAAAAAAACGTGATATATTTAAAATTCAGATTAAGGCAAACCCCTTCAATGCCCTGACTTTATTTGCTGTTTCCAATCATTTTTAAACTTGCCCACGTTCATCTACTGGTTCGACTTCTAAATCGCTGCCTCGTGAAGGAATTCAATTCATGAAATAGTAGATGGTGAAGTACATGTAATGACATTCTGGTGCACCCTTATGGACGTCCTAAATGGCAGTTATTACCTTTTAGCTACAAACGAACGACAAAAATTTACTCAACTCCCCCATCGTACAATATTTGTACTGTCTTACGTGAACCGACTCCAATCGCTCAGTACTGATGCCTTCCCCAGTGCTTCCGCTTACACCTTTCATACATTTTCCACCATTTCACTGCATTTTTCCCTTAAATCTCAATGTTCAACTTAAAAGTTCAACCCTTAGTCTTCCAATTCTCACATTGGCTGTCGGGTATCCGGAAGATTAATGGATCTATGATTTGATAACTTGATATGGCTTTAATAATAATTTTTGTATACATTTTACAATTGGGGGAGTGGCAATACTCACCTCTTCTACGCATGGATGAAGTGGTTGATATGCTTCTTCGGAAGTCTTCAAAACTCTTGGTCGAGTGTTGACTCTCAACGTCGCCAATACAAACGTGACTTGGCGAGGTAGGAGCACCATGCATGCATGGTGAATCATATTCCGCCTGATGAGGGCTAGAATCTTTCATGTCAATATTCCGCTGATCAAAGAAGTGACAACCTTGATTGTAGAGTTGACGAGCCTGTTTCTCTGATATCCACAGTGCACAGCCAGTGGGAATATCATACAGAAGCGGCTTTCTGCCTCCCGCCAATTTCACAACTAATTTTGAAGTCTTAGGACCAGGTGACTCAGTAATGCCTTAAAATAGTGAAATTGTTTTCATAAAGTTGTAAATTAAAGTAGGTAATTCACATTCAAAGCGAAATGACTAACGAGACGATCTGGGTTCAAATCCATTGTGCACAACTGCAAGAACATAAGGATGTCCAGCGAATGGCGGATCGACTTGTAAAGAAGTGCCTGCACTCTGCGACTCTAAAAGAATTGCAGGAACTAAAACGTCATCATTTTCGCAGATGGAATGACGATAAAGGTCGGTATAAGAGAGAATGTCGTTGATGTCCACTTCCTGCATGCAATAATCTAATCCGACGTCATTTCCATATCCATCATAAGGAATACAAAACACTACACCGAAGCGTTTGTCTTTTTTCTAAACAAAAATATAAAGCCATTTGAATGTAAGACCATAAAATTCCTTGGTTTCCGAATGAAACTGATTCCACTGATTGCATTTACGAGTTTACATTATTTAAGAACTATTTATGCTCGTACAGGTAGCAACGTAAATTTTTTGAAAATATTAAATTTACTAAAATAGCTGTTAGTGAAAATAGAAGTGATGTAAATCTTCATTCAAGAAAACGTAGGGTCTTCATCTTGAGAACAGCAGCGTACAAAGAAAAAGAGACTGGCAATGTAACCAGCAATATCAGAGAGGGAATTTGGGTCAAATTTTAAAGAATAAGACTCGGTCGATTTTCAAATGCTTCGAAGATGTCAACGCACACTATGCTTCCTCTAGAAGTTTAAAACTCTTCTCAGTGATAAACGTGGAATCAAGGGGAATGGAAGATTGGAACCGACGTGAATTATGGGAAAGAATAACCGGCATCGTGTTGATTTTCGGCTGCATCGAAATTAGGAGATTGTGGGCACTGCTCAATACTGCCTCAATAGTCTGCAAACAATCCAACATTAAATGGTCTGGTTACGCCGACACAATGGATTTCCTCAAGAAGGTGCTGCAGAAGAAAGCTTTGTAGCACCCTGGCATCACCACTCTGGCTTTGTTGCCACAATAAGTCGAATATTTCAGCCTCCATCTCGTAGCACATACACAAAGAAGACCTCCGCTGCAGCAGGCTCATGCAGATGCCACAGAGGTCTACTTCTCGTAGAAAGAGTTCCCGAGAAACTGGGCAAATTGGAACATTCTTTCAAAACCTAAACAGTTAGCCTCTGTTGCTGGAAAAACTGTTGTCAACGTTAGAAGATCTACAGCCGAACAACAAATAGCTTTTCCTGCATAGATTCTAAATTACACTCCTCGATAGTTGAAGACGAAACTTCACTAAACTGTCAAGGTTTTCGTAGGGTCAAGGTCATCTGTGAGTGATGTCTAAGCTGAATTACTATCCACTGTAGTGGCTAGGCCCTGGATAATGATGGTAGCCTACAGTAGATCATATAATTGTCGCAGTGGGATTCAGACCCTTGCCACAATCCAGGAGAAAACAGAAAATTATTATCAGCCAATAGTTACCACTACACTAGTCTCAATATTTTGTTCCTGTACCCCTTCCCTCTCACTCCCTCCAGAGGGTCCATTGTTTAGAGAGAGGCAGCAATTGTCGCTCAAAAAGCTCAGTTAATTCGAAGGATTAGAGCAGTCTATGAGACTTGTCCAAGGAAAATGCAAAGTCGTCTTGATCCAGGCTTGATCGGGAATAGGACCATATTAAGCGTTACCAGTTGGTGCTTTTAGTTATTTAGAGTAAAAAAATACACCATAGGGTAATTGCATCATCTATTCCATTTCTTTTAAATCTGCTCCATTTTGTAGCTACTAACCACCTTTCTCTCTTTTAACGAAATACCATACTTATTAGTCATTATTCCTAATTCACTATTATTAAACCCGACAATGTTACAATTTAACGCCAGAAAATAATGTCTTAGAGTGGTATTTAAAACGCACTAAAGGTTGAAATTTCTACATTCGATTTACTGATTCGTTTTTATATCGTTCTAATTTAATTGAATTATTTTTCCCTACAGTCTGTTAATTTTGTTTGTGGCCTAATTGGAAACGTTTCAACATCTTCACCAATCAAGGTGTTGGTGTAAAGAGGTGTTAGAAATTCCATGGATATGAAGTCCAAAGTCTTTAAAATTGCGTTAGATAAAAATTTGATCAGCCTCTCCTTGTGATAAAAACGTACTATGTAATAGAATAAAGATAGTATCAAAGTCAAGGGGGATTTGATACCCGGATTTAATTTATGTTTAAATCGGACTTTATTTGGCATTTTGAACAGTCATCTGAAGTGCTTGCAATATTTTATGATGGTAATAAAGCAGCCTTCTTTCCTGGAAGGGAAAGGACATGGACTATTCTCCTTCTAAAGAATAGAGAATATGACGGGATATTCTAACGTTAAAGTATTCATATGAAAATGACATCTATGCAACCATAATTTCAGTGTTTCACATCATTTCAGCTATCTGTCTAAGTTAGTAAAGTACGCACTAACCTAAAAGTAATATTTATATGTATAGATTACGTTTGGTAACATTAAAACTGTTTTCCTTGTTACTGTAAAAGATAAGATCGATCTTAAACGTTTAAACACCTTCTTAATTAAATATGACAACCCAACCTTGCTTTGGAAAGTGAAGACAGGGTTACCTGTGTCTTGATAACTCCCAAATAAAGACGATTTTCTCGATCTCTACGTGAAACAAGAACATGGCGTCCAATTAGTAGACTTCCAGCTGAATCAACGGAACTCGATGCACTTTGCATTGATGCCCTGCGTCTAGTACGAAAACGGCTGTTATTAGAAAACCGAACATACTGAATGCCACTATAATAAACGGCTTCGTCTCGACTGCTTGAACTTGAATTTCGACTGTGAGAACAAAAAGTGTAAAATAGAATTTTAAATCATTTAAAATTGTTTTTAAATTGAAATTCTGTTAGTTACCCAAAGAATATAATTAACAATGATATTATTAAAGCTTAAACCCTTACATGCTTTGGCGATTCGTTTTACTTAATTCTGGAGAAGAAGCGCTATTGCAAGAATATGAAGAAGATTCAAATTAGGTGGGAAACAGTTAAAATGTTATTTAGATTGGTTGAATTTAAATCACATATTTTGCTCCTTATTGAAACTACTTGCAGATGAAGCGTGACTGAATCTTCCAGTTTGAGATCTGCTCGCGAAAAAATAGACGAAAATGAAAGTAATAATTTCACGTTATTAAGTAAATGTTATGACTTACCTATTACCTCCGGATTGTCTGTTAGGGCCTTTTGTTGAGGAAATAGGCTCCAGATCTCTCGAACTTAAAAGTTAAATGGTACAGTTTCAAAAGAAAAGGCAATCAATACAAGCAAAACATTGTGACTTTGAGGCTTCGAAGTTTCTTGGAATTCAGCCATAGTTTAGATTGTTCGACTCTTTATAAACTGCCAATAATGTAATGGATTTAACAAATTTCTTGGCAGGACCCACAGTATTCCGAAATCAATAATGGGGTGTGATTGCCTTAGCGGTGAGGACCTTGCTCCAACTCTATTTAAGCAATGACACTGTAACTATACACACATTTTAGGAAAAATATGTAAATTTTATGAATTGTTAACAATTCGCACATTATCTGTACTGTTTGGACTCATTAGACTTGCTCAGTGATCACGGAATATTAAATATAAGGCAGGCTTTTGTTCATTACTATCTCGGTCAATTGTCCGCATTGATTTATTCCAAAACGAGCGTATTTTGTCTAGAATTAATACTTTCCTTTACTGAAATTGATTAATATCATCAATATTTTAAACTAAAACTTCAAAAAAATTCGCCTTTAACCAGATTTTTGCTCTTAATAACATGATTGAAGTATTTTCCCGAATACGTCAAATGTCTAAAGACATGTGGGACACGTCATCGCCTGCCTGCACGCCAGGATTGGGAGGTGCGACCGTAGTGACCAATCACTAACCTCCGTTTGTTTAACCTAATCCGCCACCTGATCATGATTAAGCTCCCTGCGTGTACACTTTATCCGCAGTATACTCGCTGAATAAACGTGCTCCGTGCTACACGTCTGTTTCCTTTCGCGTGCTCCGTGCTACACGTCTGTTTCCTTTGCGTACTCCGTGCTACACGTCTGTTTCCTTTATAGCTGGGCGCCCCGTGCTACACGTCTGTTTCCTTTCATAGCTGGGCTATAACTTAGCTGATTCTGGGAGTCTAGGTAGATGTAGGAGGATCTGCCATAGAGATTTCTGAGTCGGTCAGGCTTTATTAGCGTAGCAATCCGTGGAGCTATAGCTTAGCTGTTCTGGGAGTCTAGCTAGGTGTTGGAGAATCTGCCATAGAGATTTCGGTCAGGCTTTACTAGCGTAGCAATCCGCTACAATGCAATCCGGTCAGGCTTTACTAAGGTAGCAATCCGTTACAATTCTCAACCGGTCTGGCTTTACTAAGGTAGCAATCCGCTACAAGTCTTTAACCAGGTCAGGCTTTCTTAGGGAGCAATCCGCTACAAGTCTACAAAACAATATACATAACTTCGTAGCAATTCGCTACAGACAGATCGGCAAGAGGCTTCATATGTTATGTCACCTCGACCAATATTAATTATCCGCTATAAACTATTAGAAGAATTATTTCTATTGAGTTTTTTGTAAATGAGCTCTCTTGCTGTTTGATAAGCGTTGACCACAACACATGCGAAGTCAATCTTAATTCCATTATCTGAACTTTGACATATCAAAATATTCCGAAGAAAACACGTTAACTGGAGGTATATTTATGAATTCAAATTATGTTAGACTTCCTCAATACCTATGCACTACAGTTTATAGTTGCTTAACCATCCAAATTGCCTAAATATCCATTGACATTTAACCAAAATTTTTGAAATTGCGAAGGTCCATGCCTTTTCTTGTTTATTGATAGTAGAAAGAGGAATTAATTTTCTCAGTAGCTTTAAAACTATTGGCTTCTTTGCCGGAAATCTTTGAGAAAATCACCACAGTCTTTCCTTCCCATGTTGTACTTATTAAGGAATTGAATGTTTGTTGCTTAATGCCATTTATTGATACTTTAAGCAGTAAAGCATGAAATAACATTTCATTAAAGTCTGATGCAAATGTTAAAACGCGGATATATTATTTGTACACTTACAATAAAATCTAAATATCTAAACTGACAACAAAAAATTTCCTTTTGAATAATTTTGCTTCCATTCATATCACATCTTAGTGAATATTAAGTTAGCATTTCAGGTTAAAATTCTAGCGATTGCCAGCTTATGTTCGAGTAGATTTACAGACAACTCTCCTCGAGTCATAGTTTTCGATTTAAGTTGTAGGTTATAATCTCAAAGTAAGAGCGCAAATATTGGGACACTTTAATACTTGAATGGCATCAGTCTATAAAATGGTTTAGATTTTTATGGGTGAAAAAATAGTTAGTCCGTTCTATTTAGTGTCTTTTGAAATAATTTTGGCTTCCTTAATCAAATCCCAATCTGTGAAGGTGTTTTGCCAGGCAATCGTGTCCGCTATCTGTGAAGGTGTTTTGTCAAGCAATCGTGTCCGGTACGAATCTGTGCAGAGGGCATGTGGGTTGAGTGTATACTCCCAGTCTGTGAAAGGGCATATGGGTTGAGTGTATACTCCCAATCTGTGAAGGGGGCATGTGGGTTGAGTGTATACTCCCAATCTGTGAAGGTCCATGTGGGTTGAGTGTATACTCCCAATCTGTGAAGGTGTACATGTGAGTTGAGTGTATACTCCCAATCTGTGAAGGTGTTTATAGGCAATCGTGTTCGGTACGTAGTCTAAACTCATCAACGGGGCAATCCTGTCCGATACGTAGTCTAAACTCAGCAACGGCTTCGATTCCGACCAGTCGGCTATGTCGGAGATTGCCACTGTCCACTGTTTCTCCTTTGTTGTTTAAGTTCGTTGCACCTTGAGATCTTGAATTCTCTTCTGATCGGGAGAGTGCCACTGTCCACTGTTTCTCATTTGCTATATCGAAGAGTGCCACTGTCCACTGTTTCTGATTCTTGGCTAGTCGGCTATGTCGGAGAGTGCCACTGTCCACTGTTTCTCTTTTGTTGTTTAAGTTCGTTGCACCTTGAGATCTTGAATTCTCTTCTGATCGGGAGAGTGCCACTGTCCACTGTTTCTCATTTGTTCGAGCTCAAGTTCGTTGCACCTTGAGGTCTTGAACTCTCTTCTGATTAGCTTATTGCACCTCGAGTTCTTGAATTCTTTCCTGATTAAGGTCTTCATTGTAAGGAAAGGCATGGGCCGGTCGATGCATTGCAAAATTGTTGTCTCCTTCTTAGCAAGTGTGTCAGCA